TGGGGAAGGTACTTGGAGAGTGTAAGATCTGGATGAAGAATTAGACGAGGTTAAAAAAATAAGTTATGTTGATATGTAAGTTTGAAAATACATTTTCACATTGACAGCTAGGAAGTTTTTTTGTCTCTTTTTTGTGTGAATTCATTTTCTTGTAGTGTTTGTTATGTAGGTTGTTGTATTTGTGTTTTGTATTGTTTTTACGTATCCATGTTTACCTTTTATGTTTAAGGTTTTAATGTTAATAAAAAAATTAAAAAAACTATAACATTACTAATCATTCTTGCAATCTGGACCTTACTCCCCTAAATTCAACAACGATTATATTGTCCAGAGACTGTAGATGATCTGATATGCACAGAAGTGGAAAGTACAGGGTTTTGCAAACTATTCCATCTGCTTTATTGACCTACTTGTGCTCAGTAGGTTCAATACTACTTTCAGTGACCTGGATGTAATGCAGAAGGACACCTGATTGGAAGAAACCAGATGGCGTAGTGAACTTTTTAATGATTCATGTCGGTGCTTCCAGAGATATGGACTAAACACCCTCCCAGAGCTTTCCCAGTCTCATTATCTACAGTTGCTCAAATAGCTTCAGTTCTTTCCAGCAGTTGCCTGACACACAGCTCAGTGCTTGCTAATAGGGATGGGACCAATGGGGTTTCGGCCATAATTTTTCTATTTTTCTGAGTCTGCTGGGCTGGTCTCCTAATCTTTTGTGGCCACTAATGCATCAGACATGTGGCCTTCAGTCTTTGGACACATGTGCAATCAACTAGTACAACTGGGTAAAACTGTGTGCCTCAGTCTCTGCAAATCTATAGTGCTTAGCAGGGTTGAAGATAGTCTGAAAGAACAAAATATCTTGCAAGACAGAACCTCACTCTCAAAAAAGTACTTGCCCTTTCACATACCAAATATATATTAAGGGTGCCACACGTTATTCTGACAGACACTGTGTCTTTTAACAACTTCATGACACTGTACTCAGAGCGCTGCAGTTAACCTTACCTTTGTCATCTCTGTACCAAGTATCTTTTTGCACTTCTTTCACCAGAGCTAAAAACTGAACCCTCTAAAAAGGGAACATGGGTTTAGGGGTGGGATTCCACCAATCTCTGGCTTTCTGTCAATGAAACCAGGATTTTTGCTGGTAGATTTCAATTCCAATATATTTGTCTTGTCCTGCACCTTTGTCAGTTGTGTTATGATGTACTAGAAAAAAACAATTACAGCAAAATGAGGAGGCATCCCCTGAATCGAGAAATCATAATTTCTACTGGAGTTTAAGGACCTGATTACTCCAAGCTAGTATTATATATGTAATGATTCTGAATCAATCTTAGCAATTGTGTTCATCTTGTTAACGTATACCAGGGGTAGGCAACCTAAGGCCCGGGGGCCGGATGCGGCCCACCAAGGCCTTTGGACTGGCCCCAGGCCAATCCTGCCACCGCCCCCCCGCCATGATGATATTGATTATTGTTGTTATTACTTGTTCTTGGGGTTTTCTTGGCAAAATCTCCACAGGGGTTTTTCCATGGCTTTTCTGGGGCTGAGAGGGTGTGCACGCATATTTTTTTAATTTTTATTTTTTTAATTTTTAATTTTAATTTTAATTTATTTTATTTGTTTATTTATTTTTGGTGCTTCGGCCCCCCAATTGTCTGAGGGACAGCAACCCGGCCCCCGGCTCAAAAAGGTTGCCTACCCCTGATGTATACAAACCAGTTATAATATGCATGTTCTCTTTATAATTCTCTCTCATACACACGCAGGGCAGGTGACACATGATAAATAAAATTAGTCATGATACAACTCTATTGAAGGATAAATTTGTTTAAATCACATGTTTTATAAATATGTGCTTACCCACATTGTGGTAGCAATAGCAAAGCAGCTAAACAATAATTCAAGAGACTGATATTGGCAGAAAGGAAGGACTGCAGTTTAGCATTATATAATCTGCTTTCAGGAAACCCATTCTGGGTTTGGAGCATAAAAAGCACAATTGGTTAATTTACCTTCCTTTTCTGTTCGTATTTCAAATTTTGTTCCCCCTCAAAAAAATTTAGATAATTATTGCTGTTCAGCAAACCCAGAGCTTGGATGTAATAAGTGTTACAAGTAACTATGGTCCAAAACCCACTGCAAAAATATTCCCATTTGAGACCATTTTAACTGCTCTGGCTCAGTGCTAGGAAATCCTGAGAATTGCAGTTTATTGGGCACCAGAGCTCTCTAATAGAGAAGGCTAAATGTCTCACAAAACTACAGTTCCCAGAATTCCCCAGCATTGAGCCAGGGCAGATATAACAGTCTCAAACTGGATTATTTCTGCAGTGGGTTTTGGACCTATGTTATGTATTAGCACATTGTTTTGCAGGATAATGAAGGCCTCACAAATATTTTGTTGGGAAGATCTATACTGACTGGTGACACCACAACTTTTTGCATAACATGTAATGTTTACTCACCACTTTTTCCTTATTATCTTTTTTGGTGGAAAAAGTGGCATTCTGAAGGGAATTCCCCTCCCTCCCCCCATTAGATTATTTTCTTCCTTTTGGTCAGAAAAGTCTAAAAAGTAACTAAAAAGAAACAACATAAGAAACAGCTATAATTAAAAAAAACCCTCTAATGCTAACAGTAATGAGTTGCTTATGACAAGGTGGTGACAACTTCACAACTAGTTATGCAACATATGAAAAAAGTAACTTTCTGAGCACTGTTCACAGTATCATCATAGACAGTGGCGTCACTAGGTTTGGCATCATCTGGTGTGGTAACTCAGTGTGTCACACACACCCATTGCCATCCTCCCATATGATGCCATTCAGAATCCTTAGTCATGTTTTTTGTACTAATGTTACTCATTAATTGTGATCCGCGAGGAGCAAATGGAGGGACATAAAATGGGGCATGCCTCCGTGGCGCGCGCCCATCACCCCCATGGGCATGCGCCTCCATTCAAGCCAATAGGGCTTGAATATTTGTGTTTTCCTTTTTTTGCAGGGTGTGTGTGTCCCGGAATGGATGCCCCATGAAAAAGGAGGGGTGAGTGTATTACTGAACGTGGTGGTATGATTGTGACCTAAAGAACTGGCAAAATTAAATTTATACATTTAAATTACAATATCATAGGCACAGCCTAAATGTATTTACATATATAGTATATACTCACTTATACGTCTAGAAATTTTAGTTAAAAAAATTGAACCAAAAAACCAGTGTCAACTTATCCACGAGTCAATGTAAGTTCTGTACTTTAAATCTTATTTAAAAAGGACCCATCCCTTTGTGAACGACAAGAACGTAATCTGTCCTGGAAGCACTAACACACACCCTGCCCCACTCTCTCATCCATCTAACCTTGAGTGTGAGCACAGTTATGCCTGCTGGAATTTTGTAACTTCTTTGGCATTGTTTTCCTTTGCTTCAACCTTTGGATCTTTGGTTATATGTCCCTAGGTTTTACCCTTGACTTATCCATGGGTCATATCAAAAGCCATAATTTTGGCCCCAAAACCTGCCCTTGACTTATACATGAGGTTGACTTGTAGTCAAGAATATATGGCAGGGGTAGGCAACCTTTCCCCTTTAAGGGCCAAGGGACTTCAGCTCCCAGAATCCCAGGAGCTATTGGCCAACATGGGACTATTGGCCAACATGGCTGAGGCTTCTGGGAACTGAAGTCCCTCGGCCCTTAAAGGGGAAAGGTTGCCTACCCCTGATATATGGTATATAGCAGGGGTCGGCAAACCTTCCTTACCTGGGGCCAGTCCCTTGCAGTGGGCCCTTCCGGCGGGCCGGGGGGGGGGGAATGGTGACGCTGCCGCCGCCACCGCCACCTCCGCATGCGCTGCCACCTCCGTGCATGTCGCGGCTGCCATTTTGTTTGCCAAAATGGCAGCCGCAACTCGTTTGCACATGCGAAGGAGTACTGCACATGCGCAAATGAGTCGCGGTCGCCATTTTGGCAAGCAAAATGGTGGCCACAACACGCGCGGCCGCACAGTGGCCAAAGTGCACGGCAGTGGTGACGGGCGGTGGCTGCAGGAGGCGGCGGGGACCGGTAAGCAGGGTTCGTAGGTTGCCAACCCCTGGTATATAGTTTCATGTGATTGAAGCGAAAATTTGGTAAAATGTGATTTATTATTTAAAAAAATTAAATTTAAAAACTGGGGCCTCTCCTTTCTCCACCCACTAAGCCTCACCTCACTCACCCCATCTCATCAGCATTTTAAAGGGATACAGGCAATTGCCACAGCCCGTTTTTGCCCAAAGGCAGATGTTTGAGGAGCAGTGGTGTCACCCCACCTTAGGGGGTCACCTAGTGCGGTCCGCACCCCCCTAGTGACACCCTTGATCACACATACAATGGTGAAATCAACACTAGATGTCATGGCTTTGGGAAAGAGAAAGAAAACAATACAATAATGGGGGAATGATGTTGTTTTACATTGTATTATTGTATATTTTATTTATCATGTTCACCGCCCAGATTGGTCCGCCATAAGGCGGTATATAAATAAAAATTATTATTATTATTATTATTATGAAGATTATCAGTGTGCACAACAATGCAGCCTGATAAGCCACATAAAATAAGAATATGATACCAGGTTGAAGACATCTATAAATGAGCAGTGGTGAGATGACACCCTGGAGAAGAGGATTGTCATTATATTCATCCCAAAAATAACTCTTCAGGCCTTGAACAATACCTAGCAGAGATGTACAAACTTTTTAATGAGCTGTAGATAATTCCTCACCACGACTGCCACCAATGCAAGAAACTCAATCACCCATTGAAGTTGATTGGCAGTGGGTTCTAGACAAACAAAAGAAATGGCTTCTTCCTACAATGCTTAATGAATGCAGAGAATTCACTATTATAAAGATGATGATGCCCACTGTTTGCTTATGCAGGGGCAATTTAGAAAGAATAAATTAATGGAGGATAGGATAGGAATACCAGGAGGCATTCAGCATGACATGTTAGTGTAGTTTAATGGTTTGAATGTTAGACTACGATTCTGGAGGCCAGGGTTTGAATCCCAGCTTGGCCATGAAACTCACTGGTGACCTTGGGCAAGTCACATGCTCTCAGCTTCAGGGGAAGGCAGTGGCAAATTTCCTCTGAACAAGTCTTGCCAAGAAAGCCGCATACTAGGTTTACCTTACCTTACCTTAGGATCACCATAAGTCGGAAAAGACTTGGAGGCACACAACAGCAATGCAGCATGACTGATACATAGAATTTTAGAAAATCTGCCCTTGCTTTGCACAGAGAATGCCCACTGTCTCCAAATCCCCGCACCTCAACCCCTCTTCCAGTTCTGGGAAAAGCTAAATTATAAGTATTTTCCCAGATGATCTAAGCACTAAATGATGCAATATGCTGTGGATGAAGGCAGTATTTCATCTTATACAGAGGGGGAAATGACCAACTATCCTCTTAACATGCTAACAGTATATATCATGATGCAACTAATCAGTGTTTTATGAAATGCAATGCCACAGTCATGAAACAATTATTGGGATTTTTAAGCCAGTAGTTCCTGTTTTACACATTCATCAGCAGCTCATGCAAATTTAGTAGTGAGGTTTAAGTGTTGCCAGTTCCCATTTATTCAGTTGGTCCAGTCTAGTTGTGACTAAAAATTGAATTTAGCCCTTAGTTTGGTATATAGAAAATATATTGCAGGGCCCTTTTTTTTAAACTCCAGAATACCTTGGATATCAATGAAACAGAAAGAAATTATCAGAATTACCCTCTAACCATAGAATCATAGAGTTGGAAGAGGCCACGAGGGCCATCCAGTCCAACCCCCTGCCATACAGGAACTCCCAATCAAAGCATCCCCGACAGATGCCCATCCAGCCTCTGCTTAAAGACCACCAAGGAAGGAGACTCCACTACTCTCCAAGGGAGTGTGTTCCACTGTCGAACCGCCCTTACTGTCAGGAAGTTCCTCCTAATGTTGAGGTGGAATCTCTTTTCTTGCAGCTTGCATCCATTGTTTTGTGTCCTAGTCTCTGGAGCAGCAGAAAACAAGTTTGTTCCCTCCTCAGTATGACATCCCTTCAAATATTTAACCAGTTTAGTGAACTTAAAACCAGGATCTCAAACAAGCTTGGATGGAGCAAGCTTGTTTCCTGCTGCTCCAGAGACTAGGATGCAGATCAGTGGATTCAAACTACAGGAAAAAAGATTCCAGATACACATTAAGAAGAACTTCCTGATGGTAAGAGCTGTTTGAGAGTGGAATAATCTGTTTTATAGAGTTGGTAGAGTCTCCTTCTTTGGAGGTTTATAAACAGAGGCTGGATAGCCATCTGTCGGGGTGGGGGGTGTTTTGATTGTGAGCACCTGCATGGAAGGAGGGTTGGACTGGATGGCCCTTGGAGTCTCTTCCAACTCTGTGATTCTACAATCTCAGTTGCCTTTCCAACTCTGTGATTCTACAATCTCAATTGCAACTCTAGCAGACCTTAAATGCAGTATCCATATTTAACAATAGGGTATTGCAGAATGTTTCTGAGGAGAATTCTGTTTCCCTGGAGAATTTGGTTATGTATATACTAGAGGTAGGAATCAAATGAGCTCCAGATAATGTTGGCTTCCTGTTCCATCAGCCTTTACTAGTCAGTGGTTAGAACTGCTATGAGCTGCAGTTCAGCCGCATCTAAAGGGCTGCATAATACCCACCCCAGTATATACTAACAATAATCTCAGTTGTCCAGGTGCAGGTACTTACATAGTCAAAAGGATACTTTCTATGTAAAAAATGATATCAGTAAACATGGGGTTCTCTAAGGTTTGTAGAGTGTTCTTTTTTTAAGGAAAGGTGGTATGTAAATTAAATACACAGACATATAAGAAATGTTTAAAGAAGAAAACCAACTCTGGCCACTCATGCCAGATTAAGACTGAGTGAACTCAAAGCCCATGAATACTAGTTGGGTGGAAGAAGAATCTGGCACAAAACGGAGCAGGCATGCTCCATGTGGGATATTTTACAGAATCTGACTTCCAAAGAATCTCAACCTCCCTTGTGATGGTTATGTTTAAAATATATCTAACACATCTCTGTGAAACAGAGCTTGGGAAATTTAAGTTTAGATTACAACTGCCAGCCATCATGGCCACTTGGCCATGCTTTGTGATTCTGGGAGTTGTAGTCCTTCTCCCCCCCCCCCCCCCCCCCCCCCCCCATTATCACCTTCCAAGCTCTGACAGACAAGCAACGTTCTTTTTCTGGTTGCAATTACTCCAAAATGCAGAACATCCAAAATGCAGAACAAAGAAGAACACCAAGACAGGTTTCAGCTGAGAATCGGCAAACTTTACTGAGTTCTGAAGAACAGTGAATTTCATCCCAGTGAACCATTTGGGGGAAGGGGGGGGGGATTGTAGAAAACAGTACTTCTTGGTTGAAATGCCATAGAGCAACAGCAAGCAATTTGCAGCCCTGTGGCGACAGACTTTAACCCTTTCAGATTCCACAAGCAAGCAATGCACATTTTTAAATAAGTTGCAGGACCCCATGTGCAGTTTAACATTTTAAAGTATTCCTTTCTTTTCAAAGCCAGGGGTGGATTTCTGGCCACTTCCAGTTTTGTTTCTTTTGTTTGCTGGTAATTCTGGCAGGCCATGCAGCTGCTGGAGGATAGCAGGGGCAGTTAATTGACTCCTGGACCTGCCGCTGTTGCCCATCACTGCCTTAGAGAACAATTTGGATGTAATGCAACATCTTTAGAAGGGACAGATCCAAAGAGAGTTTTGCCATGTTTTCCAACCTCTAGGACAGTGGTTCCCAAACTTTGGTCATTAAGGTGTTTTAGACTTCAGCTCCAAAAATCCCTGAATATCATCCTAACTGTCTAGGACAGGGGTAGGCAACCTTTCCCCTTTAAGGGCCAAGGGACTTCAGCTCCCAGAATCTCAGGAGCTATTGGCCAACATGGGACTATTGGCCAACATGGCTGAGGCTTCTGGGACCTGAAGTCCCTCAGCCTTTAAAGGGGAAAGGTTGCCTACCCCTGGTCTAGGACTTCTGGAAGCTGAAGTCCAAAACACTTGGAAGATTAAAGTTTGGAAATCAATGCTGTCTAGGAGAAGGAGAAGAACCATTTGACATTCCTGCTTCCGTTATCCACTCATGGGATATCTTTCAGGGATACATGTAAATGTAAATAAATTGCTATCAAGGTAGGATGGTTGTGAGAACAGTATTCCTCTGAAATTATAATACCTCTGTCAATTCCCCCCCCCCACTCTAGAACAAGGGTATGCATGGGTTTTTAATTTAAACAAAACCTGGCTCTAAAACAAAAATTATACAAGTCCTACTTGTACAAAATTCATAATGTAGCACTCCAAATATAACCACAGAGTAACATGGCACTTGAGAAATTACTGCCCAAGACATTTCCAGTTACCCTAAAAAGCACCATTTGAAAGAGGATTTTAGTGGAAGTGGTATTTCTATAATGATGGCCCATTCCAGACAAACGTCATGATCTGAAAAGAAAACATGGCATTACCCCCTTATCTTTGTAACTCATCTATTTGAGATTTTCACAACACAAGGGAGACCTTCAATTATTTATTAATCAAGTACCTCAATACAGTATAAGGCACTCTAAATTTTAATATTCTCTCCAGCTGCTAACATTCAGTTTAGACAAACTACATGGATATCCCTCTAGTCTAGATTCTTAACTGAACAACAAAAACATCTTTACAAAACGTGGGCCTGAAACTCTAACACTGTCAACTTATTTCCCTTCTCCTGTATGATTTTTAATATCTCTGCCTGAGGAAGAAGCCAGTTGAGTTTCAAAAGCTTTCATCATGTATTTTTTGCATTTTTGGTTGGCCTATTTTGTGGATTTTGGATATTATAGTAGTTCAATGCAACTGACATGCTATTGCAGTAGTGGGAAGCTTTTGTTCTCCAGATGCTTTGGTCTACAATTCCCACTGGTCCCACCCAACATGGACAATGGTAAGAGACCATGAGAGTTGTAGTCCAAAACATCTGGAGGGTCTGAGGCTCCTCATACCTATACTACTGACTGTGGGCCATACAACTCCATGCAATGTATGGAAATGCTTCCAAGTCAGTAGTTGCCATAACTGTGTCCCAGGTAAGCACCAATGAAACGAAAATAACTTTTACATGATTATAAAAACCCTTGTGCAAGCCCAAGTAATTTCCATACAGGAACCTATATCTGGAAATCAAAGCAAAACAACAATCGTAAATTGCTTCATGTCATTAAAAATGTGAACTTTTATCCTGAACATTACATATGCAGTGACTAGTCTCCATTCCCATCTGATCTCATTCCCACTCAAAGGTACATTCACAAATAATGCACTTTTCCACTAAAGTTGAAAGTGGAAATTAAAATATTATCTCCTTTATTCCCTGAAAAGATAAACGAGAAGGAACAAAAATAAAAACATCATGCCTGGTAATAGCAATAAGGTTTTCTGTTAGCAGCATTACCACTATGGTAACTTTGGGTTCAGAAAGTAGGTTGTTCTGAACTCTTCTTGAACTCTCCCCTGGGAAGAGATTTGGCTCAAGATTCCTAATGGCAACACAGCAACACCCAAAGACGGGTGTGAGTAAGGCAAAAACGGTTATTAGAGAAGTAGTCATTGCTTTAGCTTCTTTCACTTCATAATTCAGTTTCACTCCTCTGACGCAGTTCCACTCTTCCTCTTGTTGTTGGGTTCCCACAGGGACACCACCCCACTGGTCCTCAGAGGCTTGGTGCAAGCCAGTTTAAGAACTTCATGGCAACTTCAAAACCGAGGAAACAGGCCTAGAAGAAGAGATACACAAAATGATGCACAGTGGAACATTAAGGCAGCATATTTTCTACAGCTGTATGTTTCCATGGATAATTTTCTCTTTTAATGATTCTTATTAAATAATTAAATTACAGTAACAGAAACAAATGATCTATA